CATGTGGAAAGTAAGCAGTTTGGAGTGCAGAGTCCAAGGGGAAGGAGACCCTAATCTCTGCTTCCCCTTAGGGAGACAGCTTAGGTCTGAAACGTTCTACCCCAAACCCCTTGTACGGCTATGCACCTCTCATAGACGTTGGAAGACGTACACATGCAATTCCTGTGGAGGGAGTGAAGGTCCTACATGCTGACCTGGAACTTTCCACTGGTGTTTCTTTCTGTGGTGTATTGGATAGCATGATTAAATCATTCTTCCATGTTAACATGTGGATGGATCACCCCTTGACTTCCTGTACACTGCTGAGTGTAGGATTGTGCCCTGTTTCCACGTGCACTCTGGAAGCTCCAGGACTCTGTTAATTGCATTCTGAGTTTTTAGTGAACATTAGTTTTAGTCCAGCTGTTTTATTACATTAGGACTGGACTCTCCCCAGGCCTTCTGAGAAATGGCAAAGCTAATTTGCCAAAATGGCAACTACGTGTACCACTCTCTGTTCCAGTTTTCTTGGGCTTCTTGCCCTAGTTTTTTCTATTGAAACCTTCACTGTTAGCAGAATTTTAAACATTTTTTATCCTGGCAACAGTTTGGATAAACAACTAGGAGGGCAGTCGTGTCCTTGTTTGGAGGAGGTCAGGGTTCAGGGTTTTATGTCTAGTTGAGAGTGTTTTCTTAAGCACTTGCAGGGCTTTTAGAAAGCAGGGAGATACTGGGGTTGGGCATTTGAAAGCCACTTCCATTGGCCCCTTAGGAGAGGCAGGCACTGCTCATGGAATCTGTGGGGCAGGGCCAGCGTAAGCAGGTTTAGATCAGGCGCTATCTTACTTTCTGACAAGGCTATTCATACCAGGTGGCCTAGGAACAGGTGACAGCTCCACACAAGTGAGGAGCTGCCTCCTCCCTTCTAGCTCTTTGCTCTTGCATGGGTTTCCATGTTTGGGCCTCGAGAAGGCCAAGGCTGTAGGCCCGTTCTCTCTTGGGGGTTCCCAGAGGCTTCTGCATTTGTTCTCTTTGGGTTATCTTGTTGGAGTGTCCTGTGTTTTAACATTGTGACAGACATCATCCTCTATGATGTTCATGCACAAAAGCCATGCAGTTAAGTAAACTTCCCCAAACAGAACCTTGCTGTGTTAAGTGAATTGATGAGTTTGTACTGGGCAGCATTTATTGCTCTCCTGGGGTGTATGTGACTTGTGGGCCATGGGTTGGAGGAGCCTTGTAGTTTCACTTGCTGTAGGTGAAGCTGGGAAGGTGAACCTGTCTGGTGACCATCTGTCCTGAGATACTGAGGTAGGCACACTTGTGATTCTATTATCTGTGCAGCCTTGGAAACTGCAAAGATTTGTCCGTCTGCATTTTCCTGGAAAAGGGTCTATAGTGCATGTCCAGTTCTTTGGATTTGCTAGACCTGGGCTGTTTTGCTGAATTTGGCCAGGTGGCTCTGCCCAGAGCTGGTGCTTACCCCTCTAATAGTCTTTGCTTCTCAATTTGGAAGTGAGAAGACAGGGTTTATGTATGGGACAAGGTACATTATCTCTCAGTAGTTGCTGCTCTAGACTTCCAGTTCCTCCTCAGAGGCCTTGGGAAGGTGTAGGCACAGAGGCCCTGGACTGTTCTCCCTCATGTAGGGGAGCTGCACCTGATCCCAGGCTCTGGGACAGTCCTCAGGCTGAGGTTGAAGGCAGCAGAGTGATGCCCTGGTTTCACCCTGACACTACCAATGGGTGTATCTGATCACCTTTTAGAAGCATGTTTTAGAGGTGGAATATGGACAGAAGAGGAGAAATAGAGTGTTCTTCTTTCCTCCCATGTGTCTCAGGCCATTGTCTCTGTACCCTGTGCAATTTCTAGTCCATCTCCTTTCCTTCCCCCTTTCCTGCTGTTTCTGCTCCCAGAAGGCAATGCTCAGAGCCAATCCTTGCACAACACATGGTATCCCACTGCTCAGCTGTTCTGTTGCTGCTGCTGCTGCTAAAAATACCACATTGGGTTCCATTATGGTTCTTTTTTGAGTGAATCAATGTTCCTGTGTCCAAGGAGGTCACTCCAAGTCTCCTGCAAGCTATTGGGGCTCAGTACCTTGTTGGATATGTATGTTTTCAGTTACCCAGAAGGTGGAGAATCTGTCCATGTTTTAGCTTTTTCTTGAGACTGATTTCTTATGCTCAGTTTCATATGTTTCCTGGTCTTTCCTATTGCTGTGAAAGAAAGAATTGGCCTATGTGTTAGCAAGTATTTTTTTTTTTTCTCCCTCTTCTTTTTTCATCTTCTTCATCTTGTTTCTCTGTTTTGCTTTGGAGTCTGTTCTGGAACTAGCTCTGTAGACCAGGCTGGCCTCAAACTCAGAGATCCGCCTGCCTCTGCCATCTGAGTGCTGGGAATTAAAGGCATGGGGCATCAATGCCCTGCCTTAGACTTGCATTTTTAACTGTTATTTAGTTTTGCCCTTTCCTTAGTTTTGTCAACCTTTAAAGACTATAATTTCCTACAGACACTCCCTCCCCCATGATCCCTCCTTACTGTGTTAATCAGATGTGTCATCTGTGGTACAGTACAGCACTTTTATTTTGGGGGGATCTATTTCATTTCTTGCAAAGTGAGACCTTTGCACCCTCTTTCCCCAAAGTACTGGTGAGGAATTTCAAGTGTTTTTTCACCCCACTGCAACTGTTATGTTCAGTGACTGTTAGTGTTTCATGTTGGCCCAGAGTAGCTCCTTAAAGTTGGTCATGTGTCCTGTAGATTAATCTGAGCCTAGCAGTGTTTATGGTGTCCTTAGTAAACATCTGATGGCTGCCTCCTTCAGATGGGAACCCATTGGTTTTCACAACAACGTCTTACATGTGATATGACAAGTCTGACATTGCTGCCCAGTACAAACTCATCAGTTCACTTAACACAGCAAGGTTCTGTTTGGGGAAGTTTACTTAACTGCATGGCATTTGTGCATGAACATCATAGAGGATGATGTCTGTCACAATGTTAAAACACGGGACACTCCTACAAGCTTGTGTGTTTCTTGCCTGGAATATTTAAGTGTCCCTTTCTTTAAGGAGTCTGGTTTCCTTCTGTTGAGAACTGGACCTTCAGCACCACAGCCAGGCTCCAGGGACTCAGCCGGGCTGCAGAGACCGCTGCTGCCTCTGCCTTTTCACTGGGCAGGGCAGAGTGTGTCAGCACATACCCACACCCAAGTTTGCCCTTCCTGTTCAGATTGTGGTACTGTACCTAGATATAAACTTGATCACTCCCCGACCACTGTCGGCTTTCCCACTCTCAGGAGTGTTGAGCAGGATTGGAGTGCTGTGAGCAGACAGTGTTAAACAAGCTACTCAGCTACTCAGCAGGGACTCCCAGTGCCCCTTGCAACAGTTGCTGAAGATGGCTATAATTTATTTTGTAGTTGTGTTCTTCCATTTGAAACAGTTGTCATTATTAGTGTGGGGGGAGGGGGCCTCCTCCCTCTGCTAGTATTCCTTCCTTACAGTGCCCTCAGCTGACTGAGTCTTTACTGATTTTGGTTTTCTGAAGTTTGGTGGGTTTTTTTTTTTTTTTAATCATTCATTCATTCATACTTTTTGGGGGCAGGGTTTCTCTGTGTAGCCCTGGCTGTCCTGGAACTTACTCTGTAAATCAGGCTGTCTTGGAACTCAGAGATCCGTCTGCCTCTGCCTCCCAGGGCTGGGATTAAAGGCGTGCACACCCCCGCCCCTCAGCTTTTTGCAGATTCTTTACAACAGGTTTGTATTGCTGTTCCTAGACACCGTATGAGAATCAAAGTCTGCTGCCTTTAGACTTCATAGTAAGTTTTGTTTAGATATAAATTTCTTACAGTATTATTGTATGTATGAGTTTTTGTCTGCATGTTTATCACCTGTCCATCATGTGCATGCAGTACCATGAGAGGCCAGAAGTGGGCATCAGATCCCTAGAGTAGAAGTTAAAGATGGTTGTGAGTTGCCATGTGGGTACTGGGATTCTCTGGAAGAGCAGTACTTTTAACTGCTTAGCTATCTTTCCAGCCCCTCTTATAGTATCTTAAATATTTTGACCCATTTTCTTTTGCCTGGTTTGATTGAATTCTCTTTGTGTTGTAAGCCGTCTAGGCTTTTGCTTGGATGTGTAAGGGGAGATTCTTCTCCTAGGTATCTGGTGTACCCTTTTAAGAGACTGTTTCAGCAAGGGCTAGCGCTAGCCCCACTCACACTTTGAGGTGCCCCCTCCCCTTCTTTCTGTCCTGGCTGTGGAACCCAGGGCCTTGTGCTTGTTATTGCTTAGTTGTGCCCCAGCCCCAAGAGAGGCTTGGGTAACAGTTCTGAGATCCTATTTTGTTGCTCTTGCTCCTGTTGTCTCCCAATACACTTGTTGGGTCTTCTTCACCTGTCTTCTATATTCTATTTTTGAACACTCCTTGTGGTCTTTTTTATTCCTTTGTGTTCCTGTTAGTTTTTCTGTTATTTTTGTTATGGCTCTACCTGTTGTGTTTGTTTGCTTTTGAGTTCTGTTTATCTTGGTCTTTCTGTAATTGTTCATTTACAACTGTTTATTTAGATCTGTGTTGATGGACCTGACCTTACTTTCATGTTGGAACTTAAGGTCTCTGGTGGCTTAATCAAAATGTCACAGGAGCTGGAGAAAGTCACAGATGGATCTGCTAGGGGAAGTCCTTGGGGTCGGGGTGTCTGGAGGGCCATGCATCTGGGGCTCACGGAGATGCTAGGATTGATGCGAGGGTTCCAATGCTGCTTAGAAAGCTGTGTTTGGAGGTGGCATGAGGAGTGAGTGGGGAAGTGAGGCTTTCAGCTGGGGCCATCCCTTCACATTTTTTTTAAAGGAAAAAAGCAGCAGTTATTTATGTTTCTGAGCACTCAGAAAACGAGCAGAGCTCTGTAGTAAAGCATCTGCAGATTTCTAAGACCCCTCGGACTCACAGGGCTAGTGATCTGTTCCACACTGTGACTCTTAATCTTCCCTTGTGGTTCTTGGCATTTGTTTTGCAGGTGACAGAAAGCGCATACCCCGCGACCTCTGGATTCTTGCTTATTGGTGTGCCCTTCTTCTCGTGTTCTGGATGATGTCAGAACAGGACCTGGCGGATGTGGTTCAGATTGCAGTGGAAGACCTGAGTCCTGACCACCCAGGTAGAGCTGTGAGACAGTAGATGAACTGTTGGTTCAACTGTCTCCCTGATTTTTCAGTAGCAAGAGCCACTCTGCTGGACTTTGTTTCCTCAGTAAAGCAGACACTGGCAGTGGTGCCAGCTCTGTGTGAAAACTCATGTGCATGCACACACAGCACTTACTCCTGTAGCCTGGCCCTCAGGTCTGTTCCCAGCAGTGCAACTGCTCATGCTCAGCACCCTTTTCCCTTGTGTACTTGTCACCTGTTCCATGACGCCTTCTGATGCTCCTGCCATGTGTGGGACCTGTGGCTCTTACTCCGCCCCATCTTCTACTGTATAACTCGAGGCCGCAGTGGGCAGTGCATACTTACTTCAGAGGGCTGGCAAACACGGTTCTGTGGCACTCTCTTCCTAGGCTTGCCCTGGTTTACTGACCTCCCTAGATGTTGTTTGCTGTGCTTTGCGCTGCTTCTCTTCTTTGTGGAGAATGGGAGAGAAGATCTTGATCTGGGCAGATATTTTTGCAGGGTCAGTTCTCAGAGTAGAGCTGCTGTGTGCATGTACAGTTTAGTAAGTCACAGATTTTCCAGAAAATTCGTATTACCTCATTCCTATACTGACTGCTTGAAAACAGATATTCCTAACTGCTAAGGCAATTCACTTTCTTTATAGTGGTAAAAGAATAACCACTTTTAAACCTTGGCTAAGCATCTGTTTTAAGGAGACTCTAGGAGTGATAATCTGAATTTAAGACTTCTGGGGAGCATCATCTGTGAGAGAGTGGTGGCTGTCAGTACATATGTGCCTCTCAGCCCCATGTTGGGAGTGGACCCAGGACTAAAGGCGGCTAGGTGAGGGTGCTTTTGATTTTTGCATGGGTTAGCTAGCAGGCACTAAGTAAAGCTGGGGAGAATCACAGGTGAAGGTTTAGTGTGGGGTTGCCTGCTGGGCTCTGTTGAACATTGATTGGTTGGTCTGATGTTTTTGAGAATTTTAATAAAGTACTTAAGGTGTCAGCACTGTGCTTGGCTGTAGTTGTAAAGTGCCCTGAGGATCTCACCATGCTCACTCCAGTTTCTGTGTCTGGTTGCTTTTCAGTTGTTTTGGAGAATCATGTCGTGACAGATGATGATGAACCTGCTTTGAAGCGCCAGCGACTAGAGATCAATTGCCAGGATCCCTCTATAAAGGTACCATATGGGTCTTGTGTACACTATGTCAATTTTTCTACCATGAACGTGGGCTTAGACTAGCAGAACTGACCCTGTTGCAGCCTTTGAGTGTCAGGACCATCTATGCCTTCTGGGATTCCAGGGGAGGCTCTTCATGCCTCTTCTGTCCTGTGACCTCTAGGTAGTCCCAGCCTTGTTGCTACAGTCTATGTCTGAGGCCTATTCTCATTCAGGCACAGATGATCTCATTTATTTAAATACATCTGCAAAGACCCTCTTTCTAGATGATGCCATAGGAAGGGCTTGGGCTTTATAGCATGGAGATGCCAGTGCTACATGAAAGCACAAGGCCAGGTTCTCCTGGCAAGATGAAAGGAGGCAAATGAGATGTCTTCTTGAGTGTGCATAGGCCTGTCTCAGATGGGAGGAAAGTTAAGGGTCACTATGGCCCCCAGGTCCTGAGGTTTCTGGCTGGGGTTGGAGGCCCCCTCAATCAGTCAGTCAGCTTTTGGATTTGCTCATTTGGGACTTAGTGTCTGCAGAATCAGCATTAAGTATTAGCACAGGAGACATTTGCAAGAACAACTCAGATGACCCCAGTCCTGTTCACATGCTTCCCCTGTGTTGAGGGCTGAGATGCTCAGTTCACTCTGGTAACAAGGAAAAGCAGTGTCAGCTGCAGTGGGGGACTGAAAAATCTGCTCAGACCAAGAGTGATGGAGCACACTTTTAATCCCAGCCTGCAGGAGGTACAAGCAGGTACCTCTGTGAGTTTGTTTAGTGAAATCAAACTTCAGACCAGTGGACAGAAGGATGGTGCCCGATTTCAAAGTAAAGTGTGATCTTAATTGTATGACAGAACACATTTGTAAACAGAAACAGACCAAGTGGAAAGGGAAGTAGCTGTCTGGGGTCTGGTGGGATATTAGCAGCATACTTTATATGCATGCTGTCACATGCAGCCATGTGCTGTCAGGGACTGGAAGACATTCACATGCCACATTGCCAGCTGTAACTCTCACAGACAGACAAGCCGGAGCTTTTTGTGGTCATCCTTACTTGTGGAGCAGTGTTAGGAAAAATATTATTTCCCCTCTTTCTTTGTGATTTGCTTGAGACATTAGTTAATCTGTAATAGTGATTTTTTTTTTTTCCCACCCAAACCCCAGACAGAACGTTTCTAATACAGGGTTAAAATAATGGTTTAACTCTTAAAAGAACTTAGAAGGCAAATAGTTGATAACCCCCAGTTATAAAAATTAGTGATCCATGGTCTTGTCTCAAGAACTGGCCACTACTTAGTGCTCTCCCTGCACTGTTGACATTGCTTCCATTGATAACCAGGACACTTGGAGATGAGTCCAGAGCTACTGCTTGCTTCCTCCTACACACAGCCTTGGTGCTTGCATCTGTGGAGTGTGGTTAGCAGGGCAGGGTCAAGTTTCTCACTTTAATCTTTTCCTTACTAGTGTTGCTGTGTTGTGATGAGTAGAGGTAGATGTGAGGGCTTTGGGTATATAGGACATTCCTGTGGCTGTTCCTAACTGCTGTGCATAGTAGGGAATAAAGCAAGTTCAGAATTCTTAAGAGCCAAGGCTCTGGACCCATGCATTTATGCTTTGTTGCACCTAGGCTTTGGTGATATGCTATATGCCGCTGCAACTGTTGTGATTTTGATAGTATTCTGCAATTGCCTTTCAAATTAGAGCAGAGATTGGCCCCTACTAAGCTTGGACCAGGTGCAGAGAAGCAGTCTGTTCTGACTGCTTGTGCTCTGAGGTTTAGGGTCAGCCTGAGCTGGCATCTCTATTTTCCCAGGCTTGCACCTTCCTTCTGATGTGTCCCTAAGGCTACAGTTTTTTCCTCCAGTCTAATCCTTTTCTTTCTGTTTTCTCCAGATGTTGCTGACTTTCTTCCTACATTTTCTGTCATTAACCAGCACCCTGAATTCTGGCCTAGAGATCTCTTCATAGTAGAATTCTTATGTGTGTCATGTATCTGGTGGCTCCTGACAGGACTGGCAGTTGAGGGAGTAAAGCCTTTCCCTCTGGCTGGCTGCTGATTTCAACTTGGTAGTTGGAAGCTGCTCCTTTTGTGGGCCACTAGGTGGCATGCTTGTTATTTAGAAGGTCCTTGGAAGGGGTCATTACCAGATTTCAGTGGGGTGTACCTGTGTCCAACCAATTTTTTTTTTTTGATGCGGCTGAATACACTCTGAGTGTGCAGGGCCTGTATTTTCCAGGCTGTTTGGATGCTAGTTATAATTTGTCATCATAAGGAAGATTTTGTAGTTTTAATGTGTGGATCTACTGATGAACACGATGACAAGCTTATTATTGTGTAGCCTTACTGTAGGTGAGATTGCAAAAGGTCTTGTTTGATTCTAGGGGCTGGGCTTCTCACTGAATACTGAGACACTGCCCAGGGCTCCTCACTGAATACCTGAGCATGGCCCAGGGCTAGGTTGGGTGGAGTTAGGAGCCAGCTGCCTAGGGTCTGTGGACTTGCCCCTCCTAGTGTAAGATGCCCTCTCTGAAGCTCTTTTGTTTTCACTTCCAGTCTTTCCTGTACTCTATTAACCAGACGATATGTTTGCGGTTGGATAGCATCGAGGCCAAGCTGCAAGCTCTCGAGGCTACTTGCAAATCTCTGGAAGAGAAGCTAGACCTGGTCACTAACAAACAACACAGTCCTATCCAGGTCCCCATGGTGGCTGGTTCCCCACTTGGCGCCACCCAGACCTGCAACAAAGTGCGATGGTAAGTATGGAAAAGCCAAGGCTACACAGGCCACCCTGGGAAAAGTGCTCCTGTGCCAACCCAGGCGCCGCTGTTACTGATCTGCCCTAGCTCCGGATATCTGCCCTGGTGGTTCCATGGTGCTGGTTTCACTTAGACGGAAACCAAACACAGGCTGTGTGCTGGAACGACCTGAGTCGCTCCAACTTTCTCCTTGGCTTGAGCAGACAGACTCATCTTTCCTTGCACCTGGCCGTGAACTTGGCCCACGTATGTTGCTTCTTTTCTTTTCCTACCTCTGGCTGGTCATTGCCTACCTTTTCTTCAAGGGTGGTATATATAAATTTCACTTGATCATAGCAAACTTTCTGCTAAGTCTGATTCTACATTGTGCCTAATTTTTAAATGGAAGGTTTGTAGCCTCCTAGAAAGCTTTGTATGGTTTGTACTTTGCTGGTGTGGAAGGAAGTTTCGTGCTCGGCTTAGTACTAGGGATGGAAAGGTGCCTCAGAAGGTATCCTTCCAGTACCCGGGTCCATAGGCAGTGGGGCATGAGAGCCTTCAGCACAGCAGCACCCACCCAGTGCTCCTGCTATTTTTATTCTTTCCTTCGGTGTCTAGGAGGAAGTCTGCTTGTGGTAGTGGGCACAGTGTTATCTTTGTGCTCCAAGACCCACATCCTCTTGTCTATTGGGTTTAGGAAGAACAGAACAGCAGGACGGCAGTGGGAGCCACAGAAAGCATAGAGGGACACCAATGGTTTGGCTGCAGTGGTTCCTGGATGCCACCTTGCCCGTGGGTGCTGTTAACTAGAGCAGCAGTAGATGGCTTGTGGATTTTAAGGGGTATGTGGGGAGGGAGAGTAGGGGTTACTTTGGCTTTGGGGTGCTCAGGAGTACCAGTGACTACTTGTCCTCTTTCTGAGATGTTTCCTAATGAGGGCTGCTGGGCAGAGTCACACATTGTCTCCTGTAGCTCTCAAGAGCACCCCATCTACACTCTTGCCCCTCTGTCACCCAAAGGGTGTCTAGCTTCTCAAAGGGGGGCACAGTTGCTCCTGTAACTGAAGTGGCCGCATATCTCACCATGTGTTTCCGTGCAGACGCATGCCAGTTTCTGTGCAGGCGCTCTATTAAGGTCGCAAGATGACTGATTGCCTCTTAAAGCAGTTGGTTTTTGAAAATGCCCATCCGTTCCCAAACAATGTTTAGTGAAGTGGCCCGCCTCACCAGAGGTAGGTGTGAAAGGACAGCAGCACATGTTGAAATCTGTGCTTCAGGATGCAATGGGTGGCAGAGATAAACCTGGAGTGTCTCCTTTGCTGTGAGGTTTTGGTTTGTGGCCACTACCAGGTGGCAATGGAATGTTCAGAATGGTGAATTCTTTGTGCCATTTACAATGATGTAAAGTGCAGTTCTTTCTAGATTGACATAGTAGTTGAGTTCCTAGAAAGTTCAAGTTACATAAAAACTGTGTAAGGGTATCTTATATCTGAATTCCACATGGGACACATGGTCCTCATGTGAATGCTCAGAACCTGGAATGTTTGTGTGGGAGGGTTTTGTGTTAGATGAGATTGTTTCTAGCACTGAAGGACACCTTAGCCTCTTTGGCTTCTCTTACACTGGTAGCATCTCACATGGTAGCCATGTCTGTTACACTTGACTCCAGAGCTTCTGGACCTGCACCACATAGCACTGATGTCTTCAGAGGGAGATAAAAGGGCAGTGATTCTCTTCCCTCATAAGGTGCTGCCTATTTGGGGGATAACAACTCAGTTCTTATTTCTCCTGGAATAGGCTATCTTCAGGAGCTGGGGAAGTGTTGGCCATATTCTTTTCTCTGTTTTAGTTCTGCCAGGTTATGGGAGAACCTGGAGAGGGGCTTTTGTGGCTTAGCCTCAAGGACACATGCTTTGGAATCTGTCTGTTTAGGAGCATTGGGTGTCAGAGTCATTTGATTGGATGTTCCCAGGTCCCAGATATTTATTTCCAAGTCTCAGTTTCCTCATTAGAAAGATGGAGAACTGGGGCAATTTACTACTTAAGTGTGGTGGTGACAGGGGCCATGTTTTCTAGAAGGCTGTTAACAGGAAATGAGAGCAGCCTGGGGGATGAGAGCTAAATCCCAGGATTTAATGAAGGATGGGTGAAGTCACTGATGTATAGACACAGAGAAGAAATAAGAATTGTCTACACAGAACCTGGGCAATGGGGCAGACTGGTTTCTAGAAACAGCTAAAAGGCAGTATCATACTGGATGATAAGGTACTGTGCTCGGTTTACCTGGGGCCACCACTCGATGGTTCTGAGTGTAATTCCCAGGCTAACTCAGGTGTCATCATCAGCAGCTGAGCTCTAAGGAGGCCTGCAGAGAGCACAGAGCCAGTCCCTGAGGACCCTGCCTCCCATTTGCAGAGAGCTGTAGAGATCTAGATCTAGCAGAGGTGGTTCTCAAGACCCTCTCTCTGCTCTGGGAGTCTGTGCTCCCTGCTGGCTGGACAGGTTGAGGCTGTAGTGGGCTTCAAGGGGTGCTCATCTAATTGTTGGTGCTCCTTGGCAAACAGAAGGCTGTGGAATACTGCCAACCTCAGCTGGCATTAGGTTCAGATTTTCAGATTCTGCACCTGAATGAGTAAATTCAAGAAAAAAATAAAAGGAGGCCTGTTTTCTTTGATGCCAGAGCTTAATCATGATAAAAACGCTTGTGAGGTTACAAGGATGAGGTTTCATCCAGCATTTGGCTTCCAGAGATGGAAATGGACTTCAATTCTGTTGTGGCTGGCTTATGTCTCTCTTGCAGGAATGCCATTTGATTTTAAATAGTTGCACTTGTAGGGATGGGCAACGAGGTATTTTAATGCTGAAGATGTTTGTAGAAGCAGTAGGTGTCGAAGCATCTCCTTGTGGAAGCCTGTGATTTAATGAGCCAGCCTTTAGTGCTGGGCTTGAAGCATTTTAGTAGTAAGGTGCCAGTAATGTGTTGCCTGACCAGAAGGTCTCAGGTGCCAGCATAGGTATCTTTTATACAGATGGCGAACAAGCTGCCTTCCTGCTCTTTTCTGCAGTTAGACACAGACTGGTGAAGGGAGCCTGCGGTGGGTAGCACAGCTGAGCTGAGAGTGTTGGTACAGTGCAGATGCAAGCCAGGAGCCATGCAGGCAGTACCCAGACAGTGACAGTTTGTTGCCTCCAGGGTTGTCTTGTAGAACCATATTGCTTGATAACAACTTTTAAAACCAGGTATTTTTATTTGCTTTTAACTAAGACAATGTTTCTTATTTTTAAAAGCAATAGGGTTTTTGCTTTTAAAGGTTTAAAAATGTTTTAGGATTGGAGAGATGGTTTAGTGGGTAAGAGTTCCATCACCAGCACTGTGTAATCCCAGTGTGGTAGCATATGCCTGTCGTCTCCACACTCAGGAGGTACAAACCGGAGGATAAGAAGTGTAAGGTTATGTTAAATACACAGTGAGTTTGAGGCCTACATGAGACTATGTCTCAAAAGCAAAACCAAATAAAATACACACATGAAAAAAAAAAATCATGATGAATGAAGGTTTTTGTATAATAGTGGTTTTCAAAAAAAAAAAAAAAAAAAAAAAAAAAAAAGTTATTTAAAGCTTCCCTTGGGGCAATTGTACAAAACTTCCAGGAGAATTCTTTTGTTTCTCTCTCAACTGACTTTAGAGACTTGAAGTGTGTGATGGACAATGGTTTAAACTCCCTCTAGCAATCTGGCTGCCTGCTCTTAGTTCCTAGGTTTCTTTTGTTTAGCATTGAAGGGAGCTCATGGTATGGTGAAGCTTATTTGGCTCCTAGTTTACCTGCTTCTTGGAGAGCTAGCTGGTCTCCTGCTGAGCATCTCTTCTGAGAATGCTGTGGGAACCTGTGCTTCATGCTTCTGCTTTGGGGCCATCAGCTTTCTCAGAAGCCTCTATTTACTCTGTAGGCTCCAAGTGTGGTAGGATCAAGATAGGGCTGTTTGACTGTGGAACATCTGGTCTCTCCACAGTAATGGGCTTGTTTACTTCTTATCTAATTTTGAGTTCTGGATGTTTCTGTTTAATGTCATGCCTGATCTTCCTGCCTGGCCTGTGCTGCTTTGCACAGCCATACAGGTTCCTCTGTACACTCCAGGACTGGGTATTAACCACTGTGGCACCAGTTCATACACACGAAGCTTGGGGAGTCCTTAGCAAATCCTGCTGACTCAGAGGCATGCTTCAGCCCCCAAAGCCAATACAACAAAATGTCCTGCTGGCTTGTGATTGTTGTGACTGCTCAGACGATTTCTCCAGCACCTGTAGAACTCATGTTCTTTGTCAGCTCCTGGTGGCTCTAGGAAGAGTTGTCTTCATGACCATCCAAGGTTGTTACACGAACAGAGCGTATCTCTTCATCTGTGTGTCAGGTTTTTAGTTTCTCCCATAAGATTTTGTACAGATCTTGTTATTTCTAAGTACTTCATACTCATATATGCAATCCAGCCTCCTTTTTGGCCTCTAACTGCTCCTGCCCCTATCTCCTGAGTGTTGTGATTACAGGCACGCACCATGCCTTGTTTATGAGGTGCTGGGCCTTAAACCCAGGACTGTGTACATGCTAGGTAAGCTTGCTACAGACTGAACTGCATCCCCAGCTTCCATAAATCTTTAAAAAAAAAAATGCATGTATGTGTGTGGTCTGTGTATGTGTATATGTGCTTTTCTAAAGCCAGAAGAGGGTGTTGACTTCCCTGGAACTGGAGTTACAGGCAGTTGGGAGCCACTTGATGTAGGTTCTGGGAATTAATCTTGTGTCCTGAGAGTCATGACTCCATCCCTCCTATGAATGTTTTATGTTTCACTTTTCTAGTGTTTGCTCATTTCTGAATTCACCTCCAACACTGCCATGAAATCTGGCACATACTAGGTAGGCATTCTACCTTTGTGGCAATTCTCCAATCCCTATGTACATTTGTTTTAGTAGTTTTTCTTTAGGATTTGAAAAGAGTTGGGACTGGCATATGGTGCACTTTTTTTTTTTTTTTGGGCCAGTTGTGTTTGGGTCTATCCTGGGTCTCTAGGCTGTTCTTCCTCTGGTTCCTAGCTATCTAGGCATTGTCAGGAGTGGTCTCCCTCTCATGGTACACAGTTTTAATCCCATCCCAGCATTTAGGAGGCTGATGCTAGAGGATGCTGTGAATTGCACACCAACCCAGCTTATGTAACAAGACCTTGTTGCCTGGAGTTTTCCATCTTTTTTGGGTTTTTCTGTCTTTACTACGTCTGCTGTGAGCTCATTTCCATGTGCTCTGCCCTATGTTTGCCTCATTCCTGATCTTGTTTTCTGAAGGTTCTGGTTCATCTTTAGAAAATCTGTCCCCTGCCCTTTCCAATATATCCCTTATTCAGATGTCATACTACCAGCACCATGCATTGTAAGTATTAAAAATAGAAATTTGCCAGTGCAGCCATCTGGATCAATATTTCTTATTCAGAGGGCCTCAATTCACAGCAGTTTTATGCCTCTCTAGTCTGGAATTATAGATATGAGCCACTGTGGGAGTCTTTTCTGACATCAATGTCTCAATCAGAAGTTGGGGACAAAGGCTGGAGTGCTGTGACTAGTGACGAGTGCTCAATGTTCTGCAAGCCTCAGTGGCCTTGAGCAGTAAAAAGTTACTTGTCATTCACTAAGTACCCACTGGCATGCTGGCTACACCCCCAGCAAACCCACTGGATTTCAAATCTCCATCATCAATACTTGAAGTCGACTTCTGACCAGTGGATAAGGTGGTCACAACCTCTGCTTGTTGTGTGCTTAGTGTTGCATGCAGCCTCTTCCTGTCTTCCTTATGGTGTTGGCCAGCAGCATGAAGATTCCAGAACTTCAAGACACTTAGCTCAATATGTGCCCAGTCTTGAATTTATGTGGGCCTGAAACGAGCAGACTTTGATTGTGGCTTGAGGTCTTGAGGTATTGGCAATGCATTCTTGCACAAAATAGACAGAATGTTCCTGTCCAGGGGACACCACCATAAATAAACTAGAGGTGCTAAATGGACACTGTAACAGGGAAGGAAAAGGCGTGAAGGGAGGCGATCCAGCAGAACTGCATCTCCCAGGTGTATCCTGGCTGTATATGGAACTTGGAGGTTGTATATTTTTTGTTTTTCTTTGTTTTAATTTTAAGCCAGAGGTCTCATGAGAATTACCCAGAGCAATTTTAAAAGTAAAAATAGGTCTTAGGCTCTCCTACGGGTGTTCTGACTTCTCTCAGAAAATTCTGACTTGTGAGTAGTATAAGCTTAGCTTTTTATTTTGTTTTGGAAAGTTGCTGTTGAAAGAGTATGTAGGGTTCATATCTAACTTGTGCCTTGTCAACTCTGGTCTCAGGCAGGTGAGTTGTCTTTCTGAGCTGCTGTCTGTGGCAGAGGCACTAAGGTGCCTTGTCTCTATTTTGCGTTGCAGCCTCTGTGGAAGATACTGCAGCGCCCCATCTCACACTCTATGTGTGTATGTTTGCCTGTGTATGTGTGAAGTGTAAGGCACTGTGGTGCCCCATCTCATACTGTGTGTGTGTGTGTGTGTGTGTGTTACTTATTGTTCCATCTGATGCTGTCTATGTGGAAGGCACCATGGTGTTTTGTCTCAGAGTACTAGGATTGAGCAACACGCTTCTCTTGAAGCCTTTGCAGTCAATGCTCGTCATCTTTGTAGACCCCAGAAGGCATGCCAGACACTGATTGTTGACAGTCCTTTGACCACAGTAGGTGCAAGGGACTTGTTTACAACCTATCCCACAGCCGTTGCTTTGCCACTATATAGAGCATGATTTACTAATGATTTAATAATGCTGTATGAAGGCAAGAATATTCAGCTTGTGTATTGAATAGTCAGGCCACTGTGACTGTACTTGCCTATAATTCTAACACTTGAGAGGGGGAGGCTGGAGAGTTGTTAAGTTTGAGGCTAGCCTTGGATACATAGCAAGACACTGTCTTAGAGACCAGATCCTACCTCCAAAAGTCTCAAGAGCCTATGGGTCATATTATTTCCCCTTTTCTCAATTTTTATTGTCTTATAAGAAGATTTATTTTTGTTTTGTCAATGAGTGTTTTTCCTCCATGTTTGTAAGTGTATTATCATATGCCTCTAGCACCCTTGGAGACCAGAAGAGGGTGTCACACCTCTAGGAATTGGAGTTATAAGTGATTATCATCCACCTTGTGGATACTGGAAACTGATTCCAGGTCCTCTGCAAGAGCAGCCAGCACTCTTAACTGCTAAGCCATCTCTTCAGCTTTTATTTCACAAAGTTTTAATAGAAAGATGACAGCTGTGAATAGATGTATAAACAGTTAATTCAAAATTGTAAAAGAATGAGTGAAGATCATTAAAAAGAATTTAATAAGAACAAACCGAGGGGGAGTAGACAGCTAGATCCTGGAGCAGAAAAGAGAAAGAGAAAGTCTTACTGTAGGACAGCCCAGGCAGTAACGAGGGCAGAAGCCACTCTGTGCCCAGTTTAGCCTTTCTGCAGTTGGCACTGGAGCAGAAGTGGACCTGAACAGGAGCTTGTAAGGTAGACCACAGATCCAACTGTAAGGTCTAAGCTCTAAGGGGGTTTTTGGGGTCTAGAACCAGGCAAAGGATGCTTCAGTTTGATGAAGGAAGGAAGGTAGGTTGGTTGGTTGACTTGGGAAAGCTGAGAACATAGAAAGACTAGCATAGACAGGTGAAGATGTTCTGAATCCAGAATGCTCTAAACTCAGCAGTAAATAAACCACTGTGTTACTGTGAGGAGACTGACCTGAGGGACCTGCAAATCCTCAGCTTCTGGGTCACTAGGATATATCAGTCAGAGCCAAGGGGGAGACTTGTGCCCTGTTAGATGAAACAAATGATGATGACAGCCCTTGATGCTGGAAGAAATGTGGAGAGTCAGGAGCTTCCAGGTGGGCAGCAGCATGGCTAGGTCTCTGGAGGCTGGATGTCCTTGCTACATGGCCCAGCAGTTGTGCTTAGGATCATTTGTGCTCATGACCAAGGCACAGAGTTTGTGGTCATGCAGAAACCTAGGAACACTTTACTTTTCAGTGGGCAAGACTGATTAACATTGTCATGCTGTGGAGCCATCCCCAGCCACAGAAGCAACAATTTTGAGCTGCTGCTGTGGATGGTCTATAAGTCCATTTGTATAGCATTCTTGAAGACCAAACACAGATGGTTCTTTAGAGAGATTCCAGGAGGTGGCAGAGAAAGTTCTGTTTCTGTGAAAGGGACATTATTTGGACCTGTGCAGGAGACCCTCTGCCCTGAGCCACACAGGTGCACATGTGGAAATGATGATATCTGAAGATTTGTAGCCTTTCTCATGCATTGTTTCAGGGTTATTTACTGCTTTTGGTTTGGATGCAGGCTAAACAGGTTTCAAAGCTGGGAACAGTGTTCATAAGCCTCACAATGTGAGTATGTGGGGCTTAAGTATACACATGGCTATTTGGGTAATATGTATGTATAAGATCTTATGTGCTTTATTTATTTTAGGAGTGTGAATGCTGGAGGCCTCACAGGACCATAGCAGCAGGCAGAGATCTCCAGAGTTATTTTGGGTCCCTGTGGACACTTAATCATGGTCTGGGGGGGGGGCAGCTGTAGGTGTTATCAGAGAATAAGTAGAAATGACTGAGAAACAAAAGTGTATGTATGTACTTAACACTTGCATTTCGGAAAATTAGCTGTGGTTCTGGGCATATGTTGGACTTTACATGCTGTTGCTGTTGTACCTGTTGGTGTGTGTACCATGGTATGTGGAGATGCTAGTGACCATGGCAGGTGGTGGTTTTCATGTGTATGTAGCACCCTTTCCTCTGAACAAGGATGCTGGGCTTTTAGGCAACATAACTGGTAATATCAAGTGGCAGTTCTTTTCAGTTCTGGCTCTTCAGAGCGAACACACTTTAGACAACCCTGTGCTGTGAAGTGCTAAAAGTTGACACGGCGACTGCAGGAAAAGTCTCTTGAGAGCCAATTCCTGGTCCTGTTCATTTGCACCCTAGTGCTGCCTTTAGGGTGAGCCTGGTGGTTCTTGGGCCATGTCCCATTCTTTTCCTAGTATTTTTTTTTTTTTTTTTTTTCCTGAAAGCCAAGCCTCAAGGCCTCTTGTTTTGGTCTGCACTTTGTAGAGGGCTGTGGGTGGTGTGTGTGTATGTTTCCCTTTGCTGCTCATGGGTTGACTGCCCCACTCCAAGAGTGCAGCTGTAGAAGAACATTGAGGCTGTTCTGAGACCTTCATGCCTTGTCTTTGTTTGGGAGGGATGTGGTTAAAAGAGGTTGAACCAGGCTGGGGGGGGGTTGTTGGTTCAGTGGGTAAGAGCTCATGCTTCTGCAAGCTTCAAGATCTGAGTTTAAGCCCCTAAAACCCATGTACAAAGCCAGACATGCTGTACATATCTTGCAACCCCAGTGCTGGGGGATTGGGGACAGGCAGATCCCTGAGCTTGCTGGTCTGCCAGCCTAGCTGAAAAGATTACCTTACCATTGTGATAGACCGTGTTTCAAACAAATAAGGCAGAGAATAATAGAGGAAGATTCCTGATATCCTGCTCTAACCTCTACATGCAACCCACATGCATATTGTACACACACACACACACACACACACACACACACACACACACACACACACGAAGGGAAAAGAAAAGGAAACTGGTTTTCATATAAACCTGTTGCTGAGGTGGCTTGCAGGTGCATAGGACAGGAGAGTGTCTTAGCCTGTCCTATGTCCTACCCACTGTGTTAAATGTCCACAGCCCAGCCTGCCCTCATTATGCCATTTGTGTCAACCAAGAATACTAACCAGCAAGAACCTGAAGAGTCCCATCTCCAATTTACTTGTCCTTGACTGGAACCCTGCTCTCCGGTCCAGGCCCTGGAAGGTGACCGTGTTGAATGACGATGTGCTCTGACAATGAATGTTGTTGTTTTAAGGTCTTCTTTTTTCTTGTGATTCTTTTGTTCCATAGCGTCGTCCCCCAGACTACAGTAATACTCAACAATGATCGGCAGAACGCCATTGTAGCCAAGATGGAAGACCCATTGAGCAACAGGGCACCGGATTCCCTGGAAAATATCATTAGCAAGTCAGTAGCCACCACCACCCCACCTTCCCTTGCCACTGTCATGAAGATAAATGAGCATTCCTGAGCCAGGGCACAGTCTGAACACATGTCCATGTCTGTGGTCACAGGGCTGGTTTTGTTAGCAGCCACCATAGTTTTTCTGTTAGGGAGGGCCAGCCTGGTACCTAGTGATGGTGGGGTGAGTGTGAGAGCATCAGGGCAGCTGTCAGGACCTCTGGGCTTGATCTGGGGTGTGAAGATGCCAGCGTATTGCACATGGTCAGGTTGCCACTCTCATCTGTCTGTCTGTCCCTGCAGTTGATCCTCTTCTGAGTTTGGTAAATGTTGGAGATGTGTTTTTATGGCTTTTGTTTTTCTTATGCCTTTTCTTTTGAGATGTGTTGAATGGAACTTCAGTCAGAAATGAAAATGTACAATGGCCATGCCCTGTGGGGGGCCTCTGCCCATTGGCTCTGGCTCTGTGCCTCAGGAAGGCTTTGCCACCTTTTGGTTACTAGCAGTGTTCTTACAGATTCCTGCCATGCTTTTTTTCCCCCTCTGGGGTGTGGCTCTTTCCAGTCTTGTTCTGGCTTCTTGTCCTGGTGCAGTTCTCTAGGAAACAGGAGGTCTGGGGTGTGATGTGGGGGTGCTGGAGGCCAGCCAGGCTGCTGGGGAGAGGATGGATTTCCAGGCTTGCACTGAGGTCATGGGTGTGGAGTGTTGAGGAGCCAGTTCACCATGGATAGTTGTATGGGGTCATGTCCAGGAAGGACATGTGTGTGGCTTCTGCCTCTGGGGATAACTAGAATTTTAAAGCCCCTGTGACGTTGCTGGTGGGAAATAGAGTTTTGTTTCATCTGTAGTGTGTAATAGGTCACAGTCCAAAATGTTGACAGGGTCATTCAGAAGACAAATCCATCTTGGGTCTTCTTTGAGAACTTTCTGCTGCTGGCTGTTGGCTGCTGCTGCACTTCAGGGCCCAGTACCAAGAATGGCTCCCAGGGGACTCCTGGCATTCTTGATGGCCTTGGACACTGTTCCTGGGATTTGTTTGTGGGAGTCATGGAGAGTGTGGAGGTGTTTTGGAGGCTGAGTCACCTTGGGTGTCTGACAGCATGGATGATGGATGGATGGGGGCTCTTTGACACATGATGGCCATTGTGCAAATCAGCCTTGCTAGGATGATCTCTGAGATCCGAAAGCAGTATTCTAAGCTGTTTCAGTGAGTTACGGTTTTATTTATTTTATGCTGTTCATATTTTTAAGCAGTTGCTTTATATTATGTGTCTTCTTGGTCTCAGACTGTTTTTGTGTTATGTTGTTGCTCATATCCATGGAGGGTGTGTGTGGGGACATACCGCATGTTGGGGGACCCACCTTGTGCATTGGTCCATGCTCAGCTAGGCATTTTGGGATGAGTCCACGCAGCACAGTGAGTCAGGGCTAGTCTCAGTGTGCCACTCATGTCCCTCTCACAGCGTGGGCTGCTGTGTTTGTTTCCCGCCAGCGCTGTTCCTGGGCGTCGGCAGAACACCATCGTGGTGAAGGTACCAGGTCAGGATGACAGCCACAATGAAGATGGGGAGAGCGGGTCAGAGGCCAGTGACTCCGTGTCTAACTGCGGCCAGCCAGGAAGCCAGAACATTGGAAGCAACGTCACACTCATCACCCTGAACTCTGAAGGTGCGTTACCAGGGCTGTTCTGCTTGTCAGCACAGCCATAATTGTACCTTTGTGCTGTTATTTTTGGAAGCGCATGAAGCTTATTGTTGATAAGAGGAGTGATACAGAAGTGAAAGTTAAAGTGACTGGGAAGCCCACTGTGGCTTCCTTCCAGCACCTGAGTCTTCCTCATGTTCTTTCTGTTGGCTTTATGCTCGCTTTCCCCTTCCTGCACAGAAATCAATTTCTTCCATGTCAGTTGGGGTTTCCAGAGTGATTTATGGAGGTGTTCTTAGATGGTCTGCTTCTTGAGGAGGAATATCTTTTATGACCATGCACCAGTAGCCACTCACTGTCCTTGGCATTTCTCTGCTGGTTTCCAGAGGATACTGCCAGGCTTAGGAAGTACAGTCTCCTTGGGCTGGGCTGCCTTTTGCACTGGGGATTTGCAAGGGGCCAGGAGGAGCTAGTGCTGGGTCTCTTTCTCAGACTCCTCCTTATGGTTTCTTGGGGTCCCCATGGTGGGGCCCCGTGACCATGGACTTAGAAACTGGTTTAGTGTATCCACATGTTTATACAATGTCACCTCTATCTAAATCTTTTTTGTTTTTTAGAAACTGGTTTAGTGTATCCACATGTTTATACAATGTCACCTCTATCTAAATCTTTTTTGTTTTTTTAATCACCCCCTTAAACAAACCTCAAACCAGTTAGTAGTCCTCCTCACCCTCCCACCAAGCCCTTTGAGCTGCTGATCCTCCTGTGTGAATGGGAGTTCCAATGTGTGAGCACTGATTGTGACAGGGTCATGCCATCCAGGTTGAGGGCCGTAATTGTTCCCTGTCCTCTCCCTGTAAGGAGAAGGGCTGCATTCCCTGTGCGCTGGTGTCCTTATGCATACAGGGGCGGTGTTATCAGTGCTTCCCCTTATATGGCAGAGACTGTGTTCCCCATTCCCTGACTCCCCACACATAACAAAGACTGCATGCTGCATACTCTGGCCCTCCCTTTGTATGACAGGGACTGCATGGCCCAGGCTTCAGGCTTGCCCTTATGTGACATCGTTGGTTGACAAGCATTTGGATCTTTTCTGCTTTTGGCTATTGTACATTGTGAAGTGTGAACACTTGTGTGTAAATTTTGGTATCTTTGTGGACTCAGGGCCAGGACAGCTGGCTGTTTTAGCACTAACTGAAAGGAAAGGTACCAATCATTTCTTCTTTAAGGAAGTCACATAAGGACCATGTCTGTAATAGCAAAGGAGCCTGAATGATCTCCCTCCTTTCCTGTGAGAGCCATGCAAGCTCTGGTGTTGGTCTGGTCAGCTGCTTAGGGCTGGTGTAAACCCCTAAGGAATATAATCATTTTAGTCTGGGAAGTCTAGATTATCATAAGAATAGAATTTTCTCTTTTGAATCTGACTTTGTGATGTGGTCAGTGTGACAGATTATGTTGAAATGAACCCAGGAAAAACAATCATGCTTAGCACTTGCTTTGTTATTAGTGTCCTAAGGAGGAACAGAAACATGTCTAACTTCAGGGTCTCTGAGATGTGTTTTTAGTAGAGGCTTAGAGCCACACTAAAAGCTGGCTGTGTCTACAGTTATGGCGCTGGTGGACAGCACCAGGAATCTCCAATGCTAGGACTCGGCAGTCTCCCACTCATGGTTTTACTTTTGAAGACTAGGTCATATTTCAGCACCGTTTGGCTTTCTTGTTGGTTGGGAAAGGTAGGTCACAGTGTCCTAGTAAATGGTCCTGACGAGCAGTGTGCTGGCACAGTGGTTTTCTGAAGAGTGTCTGGAGACAGATAGCATCGTTATTAAGTGATTGTTGCACATGGAAGTGCTAGAAGGACTACCAAGCAGGAGCATGTCTCACTTTAGACTCATTGCCCACTAGTCCTGACAGTACTGGCCTCTACCCTGTGGCACTCAGTCATGCTCTTGTCTCTTTGCTCAGTGGATCGTGTTAGGCCATCTGGCTTATGTCATAGAAGCATTATTAATATGGGGTGTTATGGATGATAAACTTATAGGACTTAGTCTTTTTGTTCCGTTAAGAGCCAAGAATTGCAAGCTGACAGATGCTTCTTGTCTTCTTATGTGAATATCTGTGTGTGCCTGAGGTCTAAAGAATCAAGATTTTGAAGCGATTATTGCTTAAGAATTCCAAATGTTAAAAAAACAAAAAACAAACAAACAAAAAACCCAAGTGGTGGTGGCACATGCCTTTAATCCCAGTGCTTAAGAGGATCTCTGAGTTCAAGGCAGGCCTGGTCTACAGGGTGAGTTCCAGGACAGTTTCCAAAGCTACAGAAAAACCTGTCTTTTTAAAAAAAAAAAAAAAAAAAAAAAAAATCCCAAATGGGTTTTTTTTTTTTTTTAAATAAAATTTGAAGTCAGTTGGTTATACTACAATGGTACCATTTCCTGGTTTGTTTTGTTTTTAGGGTACTAGAGGGACCTAGGACCTGTGTGTGCTTGGCAAGTACTCTATCACTGAGCTATATCCCAGCCCTCTTTTCATTCTGTATTTTGAGACAGTGTCTCATCAAGTTGTTCAGGCTGGCCTTGAATTTGCCCTGCATCCCAGGAGTGATAGGCCTTGAAATTTCAGTCCCACTGCCTTTGTAGTAGCTGGGATGGTAGGCCTGTGCCATTTCATTTATTTTAGTTTTTTACTTAGGTAATTTGTTAAGTTATGCAAACTTAGTTTAGATGAAATAGATGGTGGCTCCTAATCTTTGGAGCAGGGCTTACTAAAGCTAGTTTTTGCCCATGTCTTCTGTGGGTAGTTAGGCCCTCCTGTACTCCATTCTTGAGAATGTGAGGGCCATAGTCATTCAGAGGCCAACTTGGCTGTGGGACAGATACAAATTAGCTAAACGAATCAAAGCAGGATCTGTTAATTAAGGGATTTAGTTGGTTTTCCATTCCCACAGTGTGGGCATTTGGTAATTCCTAGAGGATGGACTAATCCTCCATGTAAAATGCTGAACACCTAATTACAATGCGGAATATTGTGTTTCAGTTATCACTGGTTCAGATTGCTCCCTCTTCAGTCCATGGTTTCTGCGAGTATGCTTCCACCCCACATTCTGCTGATCAGTCAGGACTTACTGACAACCTCCTGTGACAAAAACCCTTTAGGTCCCTGTGCTCTGAAGCTAATGGCAGCCTGGGCAGGCTCCAAGTGGCTTACAATTTAATTTGTGCTTTGTTTTCCTTTATTGTGACCAACCTCTGACATGCCCAGCCATTGAGACGGCAGATGCATGGATCTTGCTTGTGGAATGACCACATGGTATAGGGTAACAGAGCCCTTCTTAGTTGTGGTTAGTTTTCATATGCTAAGGAATATTTATGCGTTACTGGTTAGAAGCCATAACTATATAATAGAATTGTTGATTTGAAATAGTTTACTAAAAAAGAAACAAAAATCACATATACCGAAAACTTTTTTGAAAAGAAAATGGTGCAGTTTGCCATTTCTAAATTGAAATCTGTAGTTTATGGAATGAATTTTAAAAGTTCTCCATTTTTGTGTCATAGAAGTTGCTTCTGGCTTTTATAGTTGTCCTCTAGCATGTGGCTGGCCTTCCCTCCATTCAAGGCACATGCCATCTTGCAGCCTTTCTGCTTCCTTTCCCATATGGAACATTGATTAAATACCTAGCCATCTACTTGTGGATGGGGATTATGTCAGAGTATTAAGAATGGGTGTGTGAACACAGATGTGGCCACATATTCCATGGGTCCTCCTGGACACCTTTGGGGGACAGATGCTTATAAATGCATAAGAATGAGGTAGTTTCTGGACTACAAAGAAGCTCTGGACCACTTGCTGGAAGTACTAGGTTAAATAAATATGATCAACCCTTGGCTGGCTTGAAAGCATTCTAGGCTTTGTGTGGCAGTGTGGGTACCTGGTAAGTTCCAGGGGACTTCATTCTAGTTATCTTCATTTTCAGAATGATTAGTATCTCATGAAGCATGTGCCTTAGTTTGGTAAACTGTTTGGGTTGACTTTATGAATGTCAGATGGGAATTAATTTTTTTATATGGATGGAAAATACACTTATAGTTGATAACTACAAGTCTGTTGTCTAAAAAGTTGCCTGTAGGAGGCTGAGGCTGACCCCAGTTGCTAATTTGACCTGAGGTCTATAGTGTATTTGAATAGCCCTGAAACATCCCCAATCACATCTTCTCTAGCACCCCCCTCCATTCCCTCATCCCCTACTGGAGAATAGCAAATGCCATTGGCTTCCAGGACTTCAGCATAACCCCAAGAATGGCTTAGGAAAACTTCAAGTGTGACTGGTGCTCTTGACTAGGGACAAGGGGTATCTGTGTTACCAGTGGGAACTCTGCTGTAGCCTGCCCAAGGTCAGAGGCCACAGATCTGTGTGTTTGTGGAAGCTAATGCACTGTGAGCCAGTCTGGCTCAGTGGGTGCCAGTTCGCCCTCCTGCTTGTCCCCTGTATCACTGAATGACAGCAGGCCTAGGTCGCTTTTGACCGAAGATGATTTTCCTGTCTCCACAGCAGTACACTTAATATTTGCTTGCCACTCTTGTTGCCACTGGTATTTCTTGCTTAGCTCAGTTAAGTTTCTTGCTTAAAAGGGGTCTGTACACCCACAGGTTGTGGTTAGTTTAGTGATCTATCATCTCCACTTTTGTTTTGTTTGTTAAGATTGGGTCTCCTTGTGTAGCCTGTGCTGGTCTGGATCTCATAATTCCTCTACCTCAACCCTCAAAGGGCTGAGATTACAGGCATGTGCCACAATGCCTGTAATCTAGATTTTTTAGTTTTAATATGCCTACTGGATATAGCAATGACTGGGTGACTTCTAGAATAGGATCTGGCTCTGAGAACCATCTCTCCACTTACATATCATTGTTATCACTGAGAAAAAGATTATTAATCTTGTTCTGAATTCCAAAGTTATCTCCATCTTTAGCTATAGCTGAGGGCTCATGCCCATTCTCCACCCTGCTAGCATGTCTCCCTTGTGATTGATCGATCTCTCTTTCTGCTTTTTTCTCCCCTCCTTCCCCTCCCTCTTCTCCCTCCCTTCCTTCCTCCCGCCCTCCCTCCCTCCTTCCCTTCTTCCCTCCCTCTTTCCCTCCCTCCCTGTCCTCCCTCCCTTTCTTTCTCCTCTCTCCCTCCCTCTCCTCCCTCCCTCCCCTCTCTCCCTCTTTCTCTTTCTCCTCCCTCCCTCCCTCTCTCCTTTATTGTGATAGGGTTTCTCTGTGTAACAGTCCTGACTGTCTTGGAACTTGCTCTGTAGATTACGTTGGCCTTGAACTCACAGAGATCCATCTGCCTCTGCCTCCTGAGTGTTGGGACTAAAGGCGTATGTCTCCATGCCCTACTATCCCTGCACTATTTTAAGACAGTACTGTGATAAAGGGATCTGGCAAAGGCTGTTTTGGAGAGGTACATACAACATTGATTGGAGCGTGGTCAAAGATGAGTTGGGCCTATAGATCCTGGAGACTGTCAGTGCTTGGACACTTGTGCCAACAGCATACTTATTCCCCTTTAAGAGGATTCCCAAGAGGCTCCTGTTATTTCAACTCAAATCTTGTTTGATGTTTTCTTCTATAATCAGGATGGCTTGGGGCTGCTACTGGCTAACACCAGTGGCTACATCTCAGCTCTGGTGTTCCTGGCAACCAGATGGATAGAGGCTGGGAGCTTGGCTTAGCAGCCCCAGGGAATTTATATTTGAGCTATATGCTGTGCTGTCTGAACAGGCTTCTAAGCTTTGCTAACTGAGACCTTTCTCCTCTTTCAGAGGACTATCCCAATGGCACCTGGCTGGGTGATGAGAATAACCCTGAGATGCGGGTACGCTGTGCCATCATCCCCTCTGACATGCTGCACATCAGCACTAACTGTCGCACAGCCGAGAAGATGGCACTAACGTTGCTGGATTACCTGTTCCACCGAGAGGTGCAGGCTGTGTCCAACTTGTCGGGCCAGGGCAAGCATGGGAAGAAGCAGTTGGACCCCCTTACAATCTATGGCATCCGGTGTAAGTTTGCACAGCTGATAACAGCCTGGCTTGTGGGTGTGCTGAGGTGGTCAGGGAGCTGAATTTACACCATGTTTCCATCCACAGAGATGTGGATGTGGACCCAAGATTTGCTTTGGCAAGATGTTGTGTGGCACCCTGTGCTGAGAGGGACACTTAGGAATGTGCTTCTCCAGGAAGTTACAGATCCCACTGTTAGTCATCCTTAGGCTGCTCTTGAAGAAGAGAGGACAGAGGTGGGATTCCTTGCTGTCACTGACCACAGTGTTCTTAAGCTGTCCAGTGGCATTAGTGGAATCTGTTCAGGAAGATCTTGCCCTTGCCTTGGCACTGTGATATGCTCATGGGCTAATCTGGCTATATTGAAGGCCAGTAGCATTCTAGGACCGATTTTAGTATCCAACATGATCTTGGTGTTTTCCTCCACCACTTGCTCAAGCTGGTTGTCTGTGTATCATCCTGGAGATACTTGGAAAGCATGTAAGAAGCTCAGGCCCCTCTTATCAGTGACCCAGTCTGATGCCCAACCTCCTAGATGGTTCATTTTAGGTAACTCTGGCAAGTGGTGGCCTCTGCTCATATGCAGGATGATTCTTGGGCTGGCTGTGTATTTAGTTTCACTGGGGCCACACCTTTGGCTTTTCTCAGAGGAGGCAGATACTTTGTCTTTACCAAAGAGACAGCCATGTGGGGGAAGTACTGGGGCCAGAGGAACCATATAGCTTTATCAAATATCCCACAGAAGGTAAGGTTTTGACACCTCTCTTAGATAGAGACTGCCTTGGAGCTTCAGAGGATTGGGCCAGTGTGCCCCATATTTAGACACCATGGCCTAACTCCAGGGGTTTATGGATTGGGGAGAAAAGGACACTAAGGCTATGAGCATCTGCAGAAGAGTCTGCCTTGCCTTTCCCAAACCATGATCTACACTTGTGTTCGCTTGGCAGCCAAATTTGTAGGCCAAAAAATTTTCCTAATGCCAGATACTTAATGTAGCATTTAAAGGCTCTGTTTTCATTATTTCTTGTATTTGGTATCAATGGCAGCAGTTTTAAAGTTTGGGCAGTAACTTAGCTCTCAGCATATGATCTAAACACAGTGGTCTTAATAGTCAAAACAGGAAGCTTTCTAACTTAGACTTTTATTATAGTTTAATTTCTATTTTCCTGTTAATCAGTGAAGTTTCATGAGCCAGCTACATAGGTCACTATGTTGAAGAGAATGTATTGTGATGTACTCACCATCATTTTTCCCTGGTGCCATTGGGTATAACAAAGGGCCCCGCCTGGAAACATACATGGTCCAGTGGTTAAGAGCAATTACTGCTTTTCAGAAGACCTGAGTTTGGTTCCCGGCTCCCACACCAGTGGCTCACACTGTCTGTAGCTTCAGCTCTGGGAGATCCAATGACTCTGACCTCTCAGTGGACATCTGCACTCATGTACATGTGCATGCACACACATGCACCCTAATAAAAAACACACACATGATTTAATAAAAATAATTTTTAATTGGCAAAGTTAAGAAGTGACTATACAAAAAAATAAGTTCTATAAAGAAAAAAGGGAGGGGTGTCACATGGGCGAGTGAGATGTGGAGCCAGACTTGCAGTAGTCTGTCAGCTCTATTCTGTCATCTGTTTCTGGTGGCCTTCTATGTCTTTGATTTCTTTATTGTTGAGTGACAGTATCTGCATGCTGTTCAGTGATGCTCCTGGCATCTCTGTATGCACAAGGATTTGGGTCCCAATAGGTGCTATGCCATGTGCATGGCTTCCCACACCATCCTCCAGTGGTGGGGTGTGGGTAGTACTCTTCCCTAGGGTGACAAGCAACTTCAGGGAGTAGTCCCTGTGCTCCAGGAGCTTGTGTTCTAGGAGACAACCTGGTAAGAACACAGGAGCAAGCATCTGACGAGGAGCACTGGCCCAATAGCTTCAGATAACTGCTGCTCACTGAGCAGATAGCCAGTGTTTACAGAGTGCCAGATCAGAGACCAAAACCAAGTTCCCAGCACTTACAAGGAAGAAGGTGTATATAAACACGGTGTGAGGCTCCTGTACATTAGAAAAGGGATGGGTGTTCTAGAAGGCAGGTGTGCCATGCTTAGGAGGAGTTTTGGATGAGGAGGGACGACAAAGTACTGTTGGCTGGTCTGGGTGTGCCTAGCACAGGATCAGAGGTTAACGGACTGTACAGCTCTAGCAGGACTTGCATGAGTACAGGGTGAAGCTTCCATTTGTTTCCCTAGGCAGTCAGAATGGTGTGAGTTTAGGGCAAGAGAAGTTGGAACCTGGGGAGTCTGGAACTTGTGAGAAATGGAGTCAGCTCCCTTGGTGTTTGGGTGAAGTCAGGTTATTTAAAGGTTAAATAGACATGAAGAATGATAAGTATTTGAATCTGATCCTGCTGACCTAGTGACCTGAGTGACTCTCTTCCCTCATGCAGTTAGATTTTCTGCCTTGTTTTCTGGAGGGTGAACCAGCCCTCCAGGAATATGCCAGCAGGTCAGCTAGGTCTCTTAGCAGCACTCAGCTTCTGTGTTTGGTGCTCTCAACAGGAGGGGCCCAGGTCAAAGCCTACTTCTGATAGCTTTTATCTGGGATATGTTCTTTCAGGTCACCTCTTCTATAAATTTGGAATCACGGAATCTGACTGGTACCGGATCAAGCAGAGTATTGACTCCAAGTGCCGTACAGCATGGCGGCGGAAGCAGCGAGGCCAGAGCCTGGCAGTCAAGAGCTTCTCCCGGAGGACACCGTCCTCATCCTCATATAGTGCCTCAGGTATGCTCAGGAGAAGACTGCCCTGAAGCCTTTTTTCTCACAGAGAGTATGGCCCCACTCAATGTGAGGCTAGACAGTGGCAAGAGCATGAAGCCTGCGTATCTTACCTTATAGGTCCAACAAGAAGAATTTGTGCAGGACCTTCCTTGTATTGCCTGGTTACTCATCTCCCAAGTGTCCTACAACCCAACAGTAGTTACTGTTACTTGCAGAGTGGCTGTAGGTGAAGGGTGGAGGGCCCACATTGTGCTGCTCTTTAGTCTTAGTTTGAGGTTGTAGACTCAGGCTTGTCCTCAAGATCACTGAGACAAATTCTTTGAGCACTACCCATGGGCTTGCCCTCCTGTCTTCACTCTAGTGCTAGGGTTTGTGCCTGAGGGTCTTGGGTGATCTTGCCTCTAGTACTTCACACTGAGTTATGTTCTCAACCCTAAAATAATCTTTTAAACTCCTTTTTATGGCTTTCTTGCCAATAGCAGTAGCTCCTGAAAGCTGAGTCCTATTGGGGGTCAGCTCAGGACCCAGAGTAGCAGTGGATAGGGGGCTGGCAGGGCTCCTTCTCAGTACAGGCTTTGCCCGGGACTTTGTTTTGGAAGCTACAAAGCTGGTCACCTGGAACCCTCCTTGACCATCTTCCAGAAAGTGCTCTTCCTCCCTTATTTTGGTGGTTATCAGATATTGAGCTCTAGTTGTTTCCAAGGTTCCTAAAATGGCACCTGTTCTGAAAACAAGAAGCTGGCATGCCTGTCCTCACTCAACATGCTTCCCAAGGCACAGTTTGGAACCTGAATTAGGAGTTGAGGAGACAGACTGGTGTTGTGAGAGCCCAAGCAGTGAACCTGGTGAACCTAGAAATGAGGTCCCAAGTCAAACAGAGTTCCCTTGGGTTCTTGCTGTTTTCTGAGCTAAACATGCCTGCAGTGAATAGCAGCTGGACTCACAATGGGCTGAAGAGGCGTCCAGGTGCTCAGAAGCCAGAGCAAAAAGCCTTGGAAACAAGACCGACTTTTGGAGAGAACTAGAGGGCTCTGGCTTTGCTCTCCCCAGAGAAAAGACAGAGGGTTTTTTTGTTGGTTTGTTTGTTTTTTTAAGGTGTGTGTGTGTGTGTGTGTGTGTGTGTGTGTGTGTGTGTGTGTATATGTATGTATGTATGTATGTATGTATGTATGTATTATGTATGTATGCATGTGTTTTCTCTTACCTGCATGTAAGTCTATGTAACATATGCATGCCTGGTGCTGGAGGAGGTCATCAGTGTACATCAGATCTCCTGGAACTGGAGTTATGGATGGTTATGAGCTACCATATGGGTGATGGAACTGAACCCAGGTCCTCTGAAAAGAGCAGTCATTGATCTTAACTGCTGAGCCATTACTCCTGACAACCTGAGATCACACTTGGCCACAGGTTTCATCAGTTTAATAGGAAGACAACAAAATCCAGATACCTAATCTGGGAACTTTCACAAGGTCTCAGATCTAATACCAAGAAACAGGAAAAATGTGACCTATGACAACAGATAACAAACAAAACCGAATTTCAACCATCTAACCAACCAAAATAACCTAGTTACTAAGGAGGCCTCGTCTGGAATTAACAGCCCATTGTAGTAAAATGTTATTAAAGTTAGGTTCAAGGACTTAAGAGAAATAGAAATATAGTAGCAAGGAAAGAAATAAGATTTTCAAAAAATTACCAAGCAGAGTTAGAGAGAAAGGGAGCAGTTGTGAGATGCCTGCATTTTATGCAGATGAAGCTAGCTGTTTATCTAGAACTTGTAAGGAATTACAGTCAAGTAGAGTTTATTGGATAGGGTCTTGTGATGAGTCAGATCTTACCCCAAATCTATCATAGTCCAGTCCTGGTCTTTAAGCCAACAAAAGTGGAGACTCAGGTGCTTGTGCCTGTTTCTGTGGCTCCTGCTCTAGTGAATATCAAGCTTGCTTACTTATTAGTGGTTGGGCTCTTGTAGTTATTTGTGTTTCTTTCCACTTGATAGTAACTTAGCATAATGGTATTTATAGTCTGTTTTTTAATTTTTATTTTTTTCTGTTTTGAATTAGTAGCTAACTGCTTTATTTATTTACTTATTGCTGCTTTGTTTACAAACATATTGGCAGTTTCTCTAAGATGCTATGGATACTGGCTTCTTGTGTGGGCAGTCAGCCCCTGTGCATTATATTAAGTGCCCAGATTCTGGGCAGGTCCCCAGGAATGCCATGTTTGAGGAGTTCTGGCAGCCGTCAGGTCCCAGGGTGACTGTTGAGCAATGGACAAGCCCTGTAGTGTGTGTTCTGGTCTGACCGAGGCATCATCCCCAGAAGCTACTTCCAGGTGGCTGTTCTTTTTTCCTGTTTGACCGATGGTCTCTATCCTCCCACCAGTGGACATCATTAGAATGAGAATAGTGCTGACCTTGTTCTGTGATCTTTTGTTTGGAGTAGAAGAGAACCTGTGGCTGGGAGGGTGCTATTCAAGGGAATTGGGGTTGGGGAGGCTGGAGAACACCATGAAGCATGATTACTGTAATCATCTTCCAGTGGCTTTGGGTATGTGTTGTTTGGGACTAGCTCAGAGCTGCCTCTGAGATAGTAGATATAATTTCAAGCCATGGCTAATAAGGCAGACAGGCATTTGCTTTCAGAAGAGGGCCTGGGCTGTCCTTGCCACTCAGCATTCACTGCTTTGTAAACTGTGGAGGAGGAGACAATTGTTGGCAAAGATCTGATTAAGCAGAGTGGGTGGGTAGGCCAAGGGACTTCTGGAATCTTTGTCATTGTTCTGTCTGTATCTGCTGTTGTCTTAGCAAAGCTATTCTGGTATTCAAGGCTATTTTGGTGATGCTAAAATGTAATTAAGCCAGAATTCTGCTAATTTGGAATTGGTATTGATTCCAGCTGGGCTAACTTGTTACCTTAGAATTGTTAGTGGAGAGACAAGGGACCACCACAAAATACTGCAAATGAGTTTCTTTTTTTCCCTTAAAAAATATTTATATAGCTAAAGGCCAGGCCTTGGTGGTGCATACCTTTAATTCCAGCACTCAGGAGGCAGAGGAAGGTGGATCTCTCTGAGTTCGAGGCCTGTCTGGTTTACAGAGCAAGTTCCAGGGCAGGCTCCAAAGCAATACAGAGAACCTGTGTCTTGAAGAACAAAAATTATATAGATAAATATCCATCTTTTATTCCATTTTATTTATTTTATATGTATATTTTCATATGCATGCCCTCTGTGTATGTGTGTGTACACATGTGTACATGGTAGTGAGAATGCATGTGGCATGCATATGAGTGGAGGTCAGAGAACATCTTGCAAAAGTAGATTCTCTCCATCAGTATGGATTTTGGGGATCAAACTCAGGTTGGCATCCTTGGTGACAAGTGCCTTTTGGAAGCATATGACAGTGAGCTTTTCTTTAGAGTCCTTTGTATTTCTTCGTCCACACGTAATGGCAGCCCAATTTCTTAAGGTTCAGGGCATTACACTGTTTGTCCAAGAGGTTTGTTCTGACCAGTTACCGCAACTCTGTCATGGAACTGCATGATATACATTGAAAATTGAAAAAGAAAATCTTAAGCCCTAATATCCTGTTTCAGAAAATTCTGCTTGTGATGTCATTACAGTTAGAGGCTGAGACGTGCTCAGTGTTGGAACACATGTCTGTTGTGGAATAATAAGGAATAATAAGGAAAAAACAGATAAGTTGAATAGACGTTTATTCAGGGAGAAATAACTTACAACAGAGACAGATGAATGCCAGCAAGTTCTCGTCCCAAGGATGCCTCCACTCCAGATGCTGTTTCCATCCCTCTAGGGTCCCCTACCTCAGACCTAGTTCCCCCAGGTCACTTCCACACCTGTCCCCATCCCCCAATGGGCGTGGTCAGTGCAACAGGTGCAGACAGAGGGAATATCTCACTACAATTCCCCTTTTAATCTAAAGAAAAGATTTAGGCTTGATACAAAACTATATACAAAAAAGAGTGAATAACAGGTATGCTCTAAGAAAAGGAAAATCAAGAAAATACAAACTTAAGAGCTACATATCTAGTCCTAGGGTGAAGGCATAACTGAGTTTACAATAGAGTTGTCCTAAGTTGGAAGGCTTAAGTCTAATACCTGATATTTCTAACTAGGAAGAGAGAATAATAAATGTGATAGTCTAATCTCACCACACATGTCTAACATGCTGGAGGCCTTAGACTCAGTCTCCAGTACAGTAAGAAAATTCATTATAGTTTGTATTACAATTAAATTTAGCATACCATATATCAAACCAAATGTACCTTACTTTAATTAAACCTAGGAGATAAAATGTATTGCAGATGTAGTTTGACTACAGCATAGTCCTATGGGTCATATCTGTGGACAGACCTGCAGGAAGTTAGTAGTTTATCTAGATGTTTGTAGGAAAGAGTTTGTTGCAACAGGATCATTGAATCTGAACAATGCTTACCTCTGTCACACATCTCAATTTCCATGACTTGCTGTTGACGCTATGCAGAGGAGGGATGTGCTGATCTGAATCTAGGAACAAGGTACCTTCCCTCTTCATCAGGAATTGGGGGGGGGGGTGGAGGGACACATGAGGGACTGAGGTGACTCACTCTATATATGGGACCTGAGAATCCTAACACTTGCTCCTGTGTTCCACAGAGACCATGATGGGTACCCCTCCACCCGCCAGTGAGCTACAGCAGTCGCAGCCACAGGCTCTACACTACGCATTGGCCAATGCACAACAGGTGCAGATCCACCAGATTGGAGAGGATGGACAGGTGCAAGTAGTACGTACCTTCTTACTCACATGTCTGGGGAGGTGGGGGAGCTAGCTGGGGGATGCTGATGGCACAGGAAGAAAAAGGACACTGATAGTTTGAGGGCAGATGAAAGTCCTTCATTTAGAGAAGTAGTATGACAGCCTTGCACATGGCTGTTTGCTGCTGCTGGACAACCCAGTGATAGAAACCCCTGCAGAACCATTCACCGGTCCCTATGGTCCATCTCTTGGTCCTGTATAAATGTTGAGGACACCTATACGTATACAACCTGTTTGAAGGAATCTGTTTCTGCTTGTCTCCCTGGAAGCATATTTTTTACTTCATGATGTCAGACAGCTTTTCATAGTGGAAAGGTCTAAGCTGATGACCCTGGCTTCTGTGCAGCATTTCTTTAATGTGTGCACAGTGAATGGCATGACTCAGCCAGGGTCCTGGGTTCTGAGCTATAGGCAGCACAAAGGCTAGGCAGTCTTCTGCATACTCTGGGCAGATAGTAGGAAGTGGCAGAACAGGAAGTATGCATCCCAGAAACTGCTGGAGAGCAAGGAGCTTTGAGAGCGGCTCAGGATCATGCTAGTGCGTTTTGTCCCCTGGCTGAGGGGCTTTTTTAAAGGGAACATAGTGACTGTAAGTGGTGGGTTTTGTGGGATTTGTGTAACTGACTAGACACCAACAGGTCATTTCATCTGGTTAGTGGGGAAGTGTTAAAGCACTGGGGATAGATTCCTTTGGCATAGGTTTATATGCACAGTGAAGCAGAAGCAGCCCAACACCTGCATCAGGTTGTTTGCTATGAGATCATACTTGAGCTAAGATAGGATTTTAAAAAATAAAAAGATGTATTTTTAGTTATGCGTATGCATGTGTGTCTGTGTGTGGGGTTTGTGCATGTGAGTGCAGGTATCCACAGAGACCAGAAGAGGGCTTTACATACCCTGGGCAGCTGGGGTATTATAAGCTACCCCACATGGGCGCTGGGAACTGTACTCAGGTTTTTTGCAAGAACAAGTACTCTTAACCTCAGCCATCTCTCCAGCCCCAGATAGGATTTTGGTAGGTGTCAGACCCTGGGCTTCTGTGGAACCATATTTATTAGTGCTTACATGAGTTGTTTACATGAAGTGTTTCCACTTCAGTATAGGGCACACTAGTGATTCCTCCCATCTGCCACCCTTACTAGCGGTCCCCAGTGACTGCACATTCTTAGTTGTTAAGCAACATTTAAAAGTTCAGCAGATGGCATAAACAATGTGTTGGAACCTTTACTTAGGAGGCTGTGGGAAGAGCTCAGGCTGTGCACTTATTGCACCAAGCTGGCCAGTCCCTGCCCTCTCTTGGGCTGAGAGTAGATAAGGCATGAAATTGGCAGAGGGTGCTTGTTGTTTCCTTGGGTTTGTTTTTCTCTGATGCTTCTTGGTGTCTTCTCTTGCTGTGGATCCCACAGGGCCACCTCCACATTGCCCAGGTGCCTCAAGGGGAACAGGTGCAGATCACACAGGACAGTGAGGTGAGTCAGGTGTCACTCTGTGGGTCACAAGGCCACACACACAGTCTCATACTCAGTGTGTGGGACCTATACTATTCCAGCAGAACCTGGGGAGCTCTCTAGGAGAGTCTGCCTGGCTCAGTGGGGTGATGGGATGTTTTCAGCTGTCTTTTACAATTGGTAATGGTATAAAATGAGATCTGTGAAGGTACATTATAGACTCAGAGTGGTGAGCGTGGCCTTCTACCTATTGTGGGTCATACTTGTACATGCCTGTTTAAATAAAAAGGGAGAAAAAAGACATTTTCATTTGGGTGTAAGAATTGAGGGATCAAGTTTAAAGTTTTGTGCTTTTAATACAAGAGAAACAAAAATAGATTCAGCTTCTAATACTTGTTTTATTTTTGTGGGTTATATTGCTAAAAGGGGTTGGGCTTTTGTAGAATTAGTGGTTTCCTGGTTATTTCTGAGTAGTTTAAGGAAGTTCTCACTTTGTCTCCCTTTTTCACTGTTTAGGGTAATCTGCAGATCCATCACGTTGGCCAGGATGGACAGGTAAAATGCTCATCTATCCCCATCCATACCTTCTCACTATGCCCTGCACAAAGTCTATATTCCTCAGCATGAGACACTGGTGTGGGGTGGGGGTGGGGTTGCCTCCTGCAGGAGGGAGCTGGGATGAAGTGTTCAGGGGTGTGTACAGGTGGGGCTCTGGCCTGCTTTATGTTAGTTTTGCACCAGAGAAGAAACTCCCTCAAGTTTATTGCTTTCTGCAACTTCCCATGAAAGTGTGATGACATTTGCACAGGTAGGACAAGATAGGCTTGCTTCTTCTTGCTGTCAAATGTAAACACCTTCATGCTTCTTAGATAAGGAGAACAGTTCTTACTGAATATACCCAGAAGGACTTCTGTGCTTAGTGAAGTGTCCCAGGTCATGGGTCCCCAGGAGGGAAGTGCTCCAGGGTGGAGGGAAGCTGGGGGCAGCAGTGAGGATTTGCACTTCTGTGGCCTTTAAGTAGTTTTATGAAGGTTGGTTTTAGCTCTGGGTCACTGTGTCTAGTCAGAACAGGCTCCTGTTTGTATAATAAAGCATAAGAAGTTATAGAGACACATAGGGCTCATTCACCATACAGGGGGCTCTGCTCCTTCTTTTCCTAAATTCTCTGTGCTGGAAGAACCATGCATCTTCCCTCTGCCACCCACTTTGTGAAAGAGTCAGAGCTAAAGAGAACCCTAGTCATTCCTGCCAATCTTGGGCAGTTGGGAACAAGTTCTCATAGCCTTCCTCTTGGGGAGTGTCAGCATTATAGTTGGTTCCTTTTTCTGCTTTTTATGGCATTGTGGTTTGTGTTTGTTATATTGGTGTTTCCCCATGGGAAGGATGCACCTTTTCAAAGATAAGGAAAGCAAAGCTTGGACCTCAGTTTCTTATTGTTTTCTATAGTGAATAAAGTTCCACTTGGAATTAAAAAAAAAAAAAAAACATCAGGCTTTCCACAGTGTGAGTATGATACTCATGTTGGATTGTAGGCAGAAGTGCCTGCTTGATCCTTGGCCCTGTCTACCTAACCAGAAGGCAGAGAGCCCAGCATCTAGCCCCAAGCATGATAGCTCAGGTCACAACCATAGGCTTCTATCAGGGGCAGTGAGGCTATGAAAGAGCCAAGGCAGACATCTCTGGTTCTACCTCTGTCCCCAGTACCTCAGAAGCCTGTCACTGCTGCCAGCCATGATTCACTACCCACTCTGCTCTAAGCAGTCTCCTTGCAAGAAGCTGCAATGCTGGTCACTTTTTCCACTGAGAAGTAACTTGTACATCTCTGATTCTTTTCACATGTGAGCCCCATACTTTCTTTCTGTCCCCTGCTTCCCAGTGTCAGTGTATCTAGGACCACACATCAAAGGGCACTGCTGGCATCCTTTTCTCTCCCGCAGGCAGCTTGCCTTCTGATTGTCGTGTACAGGGTGTGCTCATGAAGCAACTGTTTTCTGCAGGCCCATTAGCCAATTGTCTTTGCTTTCTACTTATAAAGATTCTGTCCTCATTTTTATCATCTGGCCAATTCTCAAGTCTTTTCAGTAACCTTACTCAGAATGGCTTAATTTATGGTTCAAAAGGCACACATGCTCCATTTACCTTGATGTCCTCAGTGGAGCTAAAGTCCCTAGTCCTGTGCTGGGGACAGTTAGCCTTGTCACTTTTCCTGTTCCTGAGCCCTTAAGAGGATCGTGCCTGTGGATCTTGGATTCTTTATCTTGAGTTGTTCTTAGGTTTTCCTTCATCTGGTGTGAATGCCTGAAATGTTTTACTGAAGACTAACTCCATGCACTGGCTTTACAAAGCTCTAGAAACATTTATATGACTGACTTGTTTTTGTTTTTCAAGACAGGGTTTTATCCTTTGCCCTGGCTGTACTGGAACTTGCTCTGTAGACTAGACTGGCCTCAAACTCATAGAGATCTGCCTACCTCTGCCTCCTGAGTGCTGGGATTAAAGGTGTGCCCCACCACCACCTGGCTGTGACTGCCTTTTTTTGAGTTCATAAATTCACCATTATTTTGTCAGTCTGGTGTGGGAAGGTAATGGGGCTTGTTGCATCAAGACTGCAGCAGGACAAAAGGATGGCTGAGTCCCCAGAGGGAGACTGTCATAGGAGGACTTGGGCAGCAGAGATTCAGTGTTAATGAGGTCAGATTCACCTGAACTTGGCCTCTGGGGGACCGGAGCACAGCTGCTCCCAATGTATACAGCCCCTTTGGACAAGCACAGTCAGGAAGAGTCAGTCTCCAGCCCTAGACGTTCTCTGCTGCTCTTGGCCATTCTAGCCCTAGCAGTCACTGCTGTCTGCCAATTGTACTTCCCACTTCAGGTTTCTAGGCCAGTGCTACAATGGCCAGTATTCAGCATCTCTGGGCAGTAGAGGGAGGAGTCAGGGGATTCCCTGGATACTGAAATGTAAACTGCAGCAGAATCTTTTAACACATGACTTGGAGGGCCTTTGGCTGGGTTCTCAAAGCTGTGCTTTATCTTGGCTCCACATCAGGCTCCTCTGGGTGTGGCTGAGTGCTCTGAGTTTACTCTCAGAGTGCAGCACCCATATATATAGGCTAATGCACAAATCTCCCTTTAGCTTCTGGCCAGTGTGCTTTCTTGTAATGGCTTCCCATCCTTTATGTGACATTAAGTTTCAGGAGGAAGCTGACTGACATGTATATTAGAGTTAGATTTAATATGCTCACTAGTTAGTTCTAGCTACAGCCATGGGGAAGCTTGTCAGAGTAAGGTATGGGGCTGAGCCTAGGCCTCCGGTTGTTCACTGCTTTGTAGCTTTGTTTCTGATGGTTTTTGTTGAGAGTTGGCCTGAGAGACTGGCAGATTATTTAAGCTGATTGAAACTGGTGACGTCTTTCTTCTTAAGTGAAGCCAAAAGTACCATTGGAAGGTGAGTAACAAACCTTCGCCAATGCTCTTTGTAGCTGTGAGCATGCTCGGGATAGTACCATTTGGAGTGGTCTGGATAGAGTTATGGCCTGATGGAATTGGTTGGGTGGAGCTTTGGTGGGAAGGCCAAGCAGGGAAATCTAGGCCCCTCATGCAGTAGGTTATAACAGGGTAGGGCTCCAGAGTAGGGGCTGTAGGTATGACAAATGTGTTAATACAGTACTAACTTATTGTCAGAGGGATTTCAGTTTTCACAATGTCAGTGTAGTAAAGTCTTTTAATTTGTGTGGGTTGTCAGAAGATACTGGAAAATAAAAGTCCTTAAATTCCAAGAGCCATAGGATTGAAGATTATAGTACAGTGGATGGGTGCATCTGAAATGGTAAACAGTGACCTTCTTGAGGTCATGAGGACTTCTTGAGACCAGTAAACTATTGGCTATCTTGAGAAGTCCCCTGAGGACTGGCTTTGGCTTTGGTCTTAGATAATCACTTTATCCACATGCCTGAGCTCTGATGTGAGCCACTTCCTCTTGAACTTCCTCTCTGTGGGCTGTTCACATTGACAGCTGGTACCTGGGGCAGCTACCCAGGAAGGGTGGTTTAGTTCTATAGTGGATAGCAGTGTGCCTAGACAGGGGTGATGTGCCTTTGAAGTTGCTTGTGTTTGGGTTTCCATTCTCAGTGAGAGTGATTTCACACATGACTTCCAGGGTCTTTCTCTCATGGATGTGTGCAGTCAGACTAGCTCTTCAAGGCAGCATGGGCTTCTGTAGCTTTAGTAGTGTTCACTTTCTTTTTTGTCCCCCTTCACATTTTAGCTCTTGAATACTGGTTATGACACACCACACATATTGTGAACCACAATGTGTAATAGATGACTATTGTTGTCAGCTTAGTCTAGTGGTCTAAGATATTCCAGTTTTCCAGACAAATGACATTTGTGCTATAAATACCAATATATTTTCCATCATTTTAATAAGTCAGAAGATAGCTCTTGAATTATATTAGAACCCTTTTTAAACATTGTTGGGCCTGGCTAAGTGCCCTTGCTGCTTTGCAGAGGAGCTGGGTTTAGTTCCCAGCTTCTACATCAGGTGGCTGGCTTACAGTTGCCTATAACTACATTACTAGGGGAACTGATGCCCACTTCTGGTCTCTGGGCACCTGTATTCATATGTTCATACCCACATATAGGTACGTAATTTTTAAAAAATTAAAAACGAACTTTATAACAACTTTATGTGTGCTAGGCCTAGTGGCACAGACTTCTCTCTAATTGCAGATAGGCAGGAATACTGCCAATGGTTTCATTCTCAAACTTGTAAACATCTATCAAGTACCTGCATCTAGCTGACCAAACAAACTTCAGGTGCCTTGTTCAGCCATCTCCACAGCTCCATGTCCTCTGGGGCAGCAGGATGGGGGTGGCTGGATGCTTCCAGACAGAGGCTTGTATGAATTGGACAGATGTAGTTGGTTTTTCTTCGGGCCACCACCTTACAAACAATGGCTTGGAGACTTACTATGAAAGCTCAGCTTTAGCTTAGTCTCACTAGATCTTAGAACTTAAATTAACCCATTTATATTTATCACGTGACATTACTTCTCTTCCATCTTGCACATCCTGTTTCCTCTCCATGTCTCCTGGATTCTCCTGCCTGCCTAGATTAATTTCTCCCTCCCTCCCTCCCTCCCTCCCTCCCTCCCTCCCTCCCTCCCTCCCTCCCTCCCTCCCTCCCTCCTGTCTAGCTATTGACTATTCAGGTTTTTATTACACCGGTCACAGCAATATACCTTCACACAGTGTACAAATACCCCACAACAGATGGACTTCTGGCCAAGTGTGCCAGAGACCTGTTGTTGAGTTGTACCCGGGCAGTGAAAAGGAAGTTTCAGGCTCACATGTTACTCTGGGCTCTTGTTTTTGTTCCTGGGGACTTTCTTGGTACTGTGTCTCATAGCTTGTGACACAGAAGTGCCTTTGAAGTCAGGCAGAGTCCCATGAGAAATTGGACACAGTTTGTGGCTGGAAAGTATGTTGTGACTTTTTTTTTTAAAGATAACTTGGAGGAATGCTCACTCATGTTTGTGGTTTCAGCCTCTGGTCAC